ACGGAAATACAGCGTGCTAAATGTTTCCCCTAACAGGAAGATTGCACGTGCACGTTACTGATAGACTTGTTTACAGGCTGTGAGTCTTGGAAGGGTTTCCTGATGCCCACTCGCTTTGTTACGCTGAGATAGGTGTTAGTGCCCAGGGAATGTGGCCTGATTTCCAGAGATGGGCAGCTGCTGCTCCACATGGGAGGAACGTTGGCGATGGTGGAAGAGGAGGAAAGTGCAAGTGGGTCCTAGTTCACCTGTCTTGGATGTGCAGCTTTGTCAAACTTGTCAAAAGTGTACTTGCCATATGTTTTCAGGAGAGAGGAAGTTGGAGAAAAGTTCTTGTTGGAGAAAGTTCTGGAGAAGAAGGCAACATTTGCTGTTTGCAGAACAAGTCAAAAAGGTTCCTCCCAGTAAGGCTCATACGTGCTGCGTGTTTTGGCTTTTCAAAACTCCCTGCTGAGGCTGTCACTGCAGAGAACAGGGTCTAGAGCTCTCCAGCAGAAACGCCCTGAATTACATGTTCCTATTAGCTCCTTTTCAGCAGAGGAATGAAGTGACCTGCAGTGGAGCATGACTATAATATAAGCAAGTCTTTTCTTTTAAATGACTCAGAAAACAGTTTGGGGCCACAGAATTCGTAATAATGAAATAACAATAAAGACTTCGGCTTATTAAAACAACTAAAAGAAGTTCACTTTTTCCTTTACATCTGGAGGAAAACTCATTTTACAAGTATGTTTAAGTCAAACTTTCAAAAATAGTGGTAAAGCTTTAAACCTGACAAAATGTAAAAGTTCCCTGCATCTGTTACGGTAAATGGCAGCTTGGGCTATGACTGGTTAGAAAGAGGGTTCCAGGCTTGTGTTCCTTTTGCTTTGTACACGCCCTGCAACCATAGTTCAAAACCATCAAGTGTGAGATAAGTGAACGTGCTTCCACACCTTTAACAAAAAATACCAGCAAAGTAATACCAGAGTACAATAAAACATTTGTGTCTTACTATAAAGCTATTTCCCTCTCACCCCTGTTCTATTTGGCATGTTACTGGGCAACATTATAAACCTTAGTAAATCTTTATTGTGTAGGTATTTCAGAGTACTTGGAGCAGAAAATACCTGCACAGAACACCAACAGAAGGGTTATTGGTGGTACTTCTTGAAAGCTCATTAGATTTTTATTTATTTATTACTTTATGAGGTTTACAAACTAAATGCTGTTTTTCTGTTATTCAGTGAAGCAGATTAGATTTAATTATTTCATGGTAGATTAAAGACCTGAAATAGTCATTTTTTTTTTCATGCTTATATTTCTAAATGCATCAGATCCATTTTTTTTCCATATCTTTTATGCTACTGCTGACTTCCAAAACGCCCTGGGTTTTCTGTGCCTCTCTTGGTGCTCTCCCCTGTACCACACAGCAGCACATGGAGCCTGGTAAGGGAGAGGAGAGGACAGAGGGCAGGGAAGTGAATCTCCTGCCCTCCTTCTGTACCATACGATACAGGGATGCCCAGAATAGTTGTGGGCCCAGCCCAGCTCTGCAGAAAAGAAGGTTAAAAGGAAAGGAGGGGGATATTGTAGTGCCCTGTGACATGCAGGGGGACAGTAAATTCTTCCATAGGAGGGAGAGAGCAGGGCTTGTTGAGGGGAGGGATGGAGATGAAGAGCACGGGGGCTTGGGTGATGCAGAAGAAATTGAAATGTTCCTGCTGGCTTGCTGTGATCTCCCATCGGGGAAGGAGCTGGGGGCATGGAGGGGTTGGTGGGGTCTCTTTTTTCCCCTTGTAGACTTCGTAAGCTGCCTACTGGATCCGCAGCTTTATCAGCTCTGTATTATGTAGCTTCTGCTGATCTTTTATCTGCAGTAGCTTTTTTTTTTTTTCTGGCGGAACAGTTGCCATGCAGTCTGCAATTTACATGAATGCTAAACAGAATGACACAAAAATGAAGTGGTGTTGCTGTAACAAAACCTATTAATAGCTTCGCAGAGAGGCAGTGACGCATCTCAGATATAACACTTGGAATTAAAGCTGGGGAGAAGATTTCTCTTTGCAGACCAAGTTTTCCCAAAATGAGCAGTGAGTTTAAGTGCTCAGCTAGAGATACTTCCAACGGGCTGTGATTTTGCAGATAAACTTTCTCAAAATCAGCCTTGCTTGACACATCTGTCACTCGTAGCCCCCCGGGCCCATCTGCTCCCCCTGCCTCAGCAGGGCCACCCCGAGCAGGGGGCCCAGGCCCGTGTCCAGGCGGCTTTGGGAGACCTCCAAGGAGGAGACTCCACAGCCTCTGTGGGCAACCTGGGCCAGGGCTCCGGCACCCACACAGCACAGAAGTGCCTCCTGGTGCTCAGAGGGAGCCTCCTGTGCTCTGGTTTGTGCCCACTGCCTCTTGTGCCCATCTCAGCCTGGGCTTACCAAATCCAAAGACAACGTCTCTAATCACAGTTACAAACCTTGGCCAAACAGCGATGTTCAAAGCAATGCTGAGCACTCTCAAAGCATAGCCTCTCTTTCCTTGATAAATACTTATTTGACAACCGTCATTTGAAAACAAGAATGCTTCTGGTGATTTTCTTAAATGAAGTTGTGGCTGTGAGGGGCGGTTGTGGATGTCCCACTGCCCTTTGTGCGCTTGGGCGCTGCCTGCCTCACTGGGTGCCTGCCTTTCAGGGGTGATGGTGACACGGGGTGTGCTGTACCAGCACTGCGCTGCCAGAGGTGCTTCTGTCACCTTACTTCAGCCACCCGCCACCCCTCTGACCTGCAACTCGGCCTTCCTCTGAGAGAAAGGGAGCTGAGGATCTTCACTTGAGGTTTTGCAAATTGCACCATCTTAAAATGCCCGTCGCAGCCCAGAACAGGTGATGCACTTATCTTTCAGGTGTTAAGCTGCTGCAGGAGCAATGCCCCTAAGTTGAGTTTATTAAGACCATTTTGTCATTGATACCGTGCTGTGCGAGGCCTTGCAGGTGCTTGATGATAAAAGTCCCAGGACTGTCAGGCAGTTAGTTCAGTCCAGCACTTAGTCACAGTCTGCAGAGCTAGCTCATGGTCTCTTGCTGGGCGCCTCAGTAAAGCCATCAAGTCTGTACTTCCTCTGTTGCAAACGTACAATTATCCCCTAAACCCCTGAATGGAACATACACATATTCCAAATGGATGCTTAGCATTACTGAAATGGTGCTTCCTGACACTTCCCGATCACATCAGCGTGGTGGTGTGGGTAGGCCGTGTCCCCAGCTTCCCTTTTGCATGGCGGTAAGCAAAGCATGTTCTGTTCTGTTCTGTTCTGCTCCGCTTGTCCAAAGCACGTCCTTCACTTCCCTTCTTTCTGCCACTCAGGCGTGTAGGGAGCCCAGGGCTGGGAGGGACCAGATGCACTCAGCAGGGTCTCTCTGTCACTCCGGCCTCCAGCACTGGGTTGGTGCTGGTTTGTGGGGACTGCTGTGTGCACGTGCTAGCACAGCTAACCAGGTACTGGGATATAGGCCTGTCTCTGTTTTGTACATCCAGCACTCCTCTGAGCTAAGGGGCTATTTGTGCCCTATCTGTTTCTAATCGATGTAGAGTGCTCCTTTCTGGCCTTCTCACACACCCCAATCTGGGTGGAGAGAACAAGCCTGGAGAACTGAAAGGTGCTGCCATGACTTTGTGGCTGGGCACTGACACTTGACGGGGTCAGAGGTTAGAGCTTTGTACATGTAGATTTCAGATGACCAAGGTTGAGAGAGCTGCTTTTCCAGCTCTGCTTTTCCAGCTCTGCTGGCTGAACCCCACCGATATCGTGTAACATTTCTGCGTTATTCAAAAGGCTGTATCCTGAAGTGTTGGTAAAGATAATTTGTAAAGCTGCTTTCTCTCTTACGAGCTATGCCTAAACACTGCATTGTGGTACAGTTGCTTCAGAAATGGGAACCGAGCATGCTACTGATGAAGTTCAGGAGGTTTTGCCTTTTAGCTTTGTTACAGATAAAAAGTTTATTGTGATATCCCCATTACATACATGGATAAAGAACAGCAACCCAGGCATAGGACAGAGCAAAAGTTGTGTTGCTATTTTTGACCCGGGTTTCAGAGCTGCAGTGCAAGATGCTGGATTCACGTGAGATTTTCAGTTTATTTTAAACGTATCTATTTTCCTTTCTGAGGCACTAATATTTTCCAGGCAGTGTTCTTTGAGCTATTGCAGAACATTGCAGTGCTGTTTACCAGTGGACTCCATGAAGCTTTTTGGTTGTTACTGGTGGTGAGCCTTCGCTGCGTAGGAACGGGGCATTCCCAGCAAAGGCTTGCTCAAGATGTGTTGCAGGAAGCACGGCCAAAAGCACGACAGACACCAGTAGAGTCAGATCATGCTCCATTTTATTGCCCGAATAGCCTAACTTTTATAGAGAACTTAACAGGGGTGGACAGTGTTTCACACAAGGTTATTGGTCAAAAGCACTCAGACAAACAACTATAAGAAAACAACCCCACCTGCAAGAAAACAACCCTTTGTGATTAGCAGTCACATAGACTTTGTCCTTGAAGACAAAGCTGTCCTATCAGCTACTGATAACAATATTTTTCTGAATTCCTCAATTGGGCAACGTGGGAACACTGTCATGGGAACTTCTCATAGTTGCCCTGGTAGCTTGGTTTGCTCAGCTACAGCAAGCCATGGGATTTTTGCTGTTTCAAGAAATTGCTCAACAAAGGTGTATCAGCAGACTTACCAGTGGAGATGGAAACAGATGTGCTCTTAGTCCTTGTGTCTTTTACAGTTGGATTTGCCTGTTTTTCTAGGATTGTGTTGTCATTTCACTCCTTTTTTTTTAAAGCTACCTCACTGGTATTAGTTTTATTTCACACTTGTCAAAGATGAGGTATTTGGTTCACTTCAGACAGCACAATGTAATTGGTCTCATCTGTCAAGTGTTCTCAGTCAGATAAGGTATGGATATTTATTCTGAAGGAGAACACAAAAAATATGGTCTGTACTCAGGTTTTCATTATTTCCTACAGGACACAGATACATCAGTCAAGCTGCAGCTAAAATTGATGTGGATTTTGATTATGATGGACCTCTAATGAAGACAGAAGTTCCTGGACCACGATCTAGAGTAAGTTCTCAAAGTATAATGGCTTGTATATTTTTTCTTTAGCTGTGTTTAACTTCCTAGAGAACAAATTTAATTCCAAACTTTAAATCCAATATGAATAAATATCATTTTACAAGAGTCTATGCCCGCTTTTATCAAGATGCTGAGAGTGAAAAGTTAGGAAGGGGGGAAGCCTGTCTTGCTCCTCTCTCAAAGAGGCATCTAAATTTCTCCTGAATTTCAACTGCCAACTTCCTATTCGAAGTTACTGAGAACAAAAGAACATCAAGTTGCTGAAACTTCTCATCTGCCTGGTGCAGAGATGTGGCTACTTGTCCTCCTGCTGAGAAAGAGCAACGTGGTTGACTTTATGATGTAAAATAATGCTTTGGTTTTGAAATGAATCAAAAGTTTCAGTTTGCTGGACAATTTTACTCTGACAGAGTCAGTATTTATACGGAAGCTGTTCAGTTAGCACAGGAAAGCTAATAAGCTTTAGAGCTAAAGCACTTAAAATGCTTTCAGTGTCAAAATAATCGCTCTTCAGTAATTTCCATATTGCCTCCTTTGCAAGCTCTCTGCAAAACACAGGAATTTGGATGGAACACAAATACAATTGGCATAGCTAGTCTTGATGTTAAGAAACTGATTTTATAATTTTTTAAAGCTGTATTTCTAGAACCAGTGTGCCAGCATCACATCTGCGTATGTTTTGTACATATGCCATTTGTCTCTTTTCTTCTCAGTTTGGTTGATCAGTATAGGACAGGCAGCTTTTCCTTTCTGAAGATTTATAATTGAACAGTGTGTGCAGCTCATGCAGCTCAACATGCCACTGTAACAATTTAACTGTCATAAGTGCAAGATATGCTATGAAAGTTCACGTGGCAAGTGCAGTTGCCTGGGAAGCATCTAAGATGGCAAGTTTTGCACACAATTTTTGTGGTCATGTAAAAGAAACATGTTTTTCTTCAGTGTTTGGTAATTACATACCCAGGGCTGATTTTTTATTTTTATTTTTTATCTGCAGGAATTAATGAAACAGCTGAATGGAATTCAGGTAATTTGTCAAATTTTCTGAGTTTGGGCAGGTATCCATCCGGTGATTTCAGAACTTGCTTTAAAATCCTGTTTTGTACGTTTAATTCAATTCAAAAAAATAAGGTGGAGGACTGAGATTGGGTTTGAATGCTTAGACATGGTATATTGGGGACATGTTATATGTGTGCATTTGAATAAAATCTAGTCCATTTTGAATACAGCAGAATGGTTTTGCTAGAATCAGTGATTTCTCTGTAATTTCTTAAACAGTTTATGTGCATTTTGAGTCGTTATGTAGTAGCTAGTGAGAACACAAGTATATTTGGTCTTAAAAGTATGCCAACCTAAGTGCATATTGCCTTCCCAAGACAAGCAGTTCCTCAAAGTGCGTGCTTGCCCTTAACTTCCTTCACAAACTACTGAAAATAAGATTTCATAACGAAAAAAGGCTGTCAGCCTGTATTTTTATATAACTGCAAACATCATGTGGAGGTTCACTGGATAAAGACTAAGTTATATTCTCAGATCTGAAACTACCTAGTTATTGAGGATTGGCAGAATTATTTTGTTCACTCCGAGTTGTTCAGTCATTATATATTATTTAGCTGATAGATGTTAGAAATGTGCATTTTTCTGCCTCCTTTTTTTCATTAGAACAGATGATTCTTAACAGTCTCTATAAAAATAGCTGTACAGTTAATTCCATGGAATGGATATAATGTGTCTTTACATTTTATCGCTAGATATTTTTATCAGATTTTGCTGTTGCTTCCTCCACACTGCTGCTACTTAAAGCTTTCATTGTTTGTTTTTTCTTTAAGAATGCAGAAGCTGTACACTTTTTTTGCAATTATGAAGAGAGCCGAGGGAACTACCTAGTAGATGTAGATGGCAATCGCATGCTGGATCTCTACTCTCAGATTTCATCCATCCCGATAGGTAGGAAACAGCTATACCAATGCTTTGCTTTGTCCTCAAGCTATTGTTTTCTTCTCTCAGCCACTACCAAAGAACTTGGTTGATGAACAACAAAACACAAAGCTGACATAATTTATGTCTTGTTGTAATCAGTACAACACTGCTATGTAATATGCAGTGGTGCTTTTTAGTAGCTGGGGAGATGAGGTTAAAATTCACTTGGAGCACAGAGTGGTATCTGGAAGAAGCTCTAATACTAATTTTAATTTATATATGCAATTTCACAGTGTAGGCTGTCTGTGCTTGCATTTGTATACCTTGTGATTCTATAATAGTTTGTTACTTTTTTTAAACATTAATATAACAAACATAACTTAATGATTTTAACATGAAAACATGTTTTGCACTTTAGTTAACATACTTGTCTCAAAAGAACTGAAAAAAGAAGCTGGCTATGTGAAATCCAATAAGGTGAAACAAGGCCAAACACTGAACCTGTGCTGCAGAGTTCAAGCAAAGGTGGGGTGGCAGGCTAATTGGGCTCAAGGACCAAACAAGAGACTTATCAAGTATTTGGGAAAGTTGCTTGATGTTTGTGGAGCATTTCAAGAATAAAAAAAAACATGGGCAGAGATGTAGGTCCCAGCTGCAAGGAATACAGGTGTTGGTAGGTGTTTAGTTTGTTGCTGTTCCATGGTTCCTCTCAGTTGCTTAACAATGTATTTCTGCAGAAGCAAAAAGAGCAGAACGGTTTTAGTTTAAAAAGTAGATGTTATGCTATATATAGAAACAATGATGACTCAAAAGCATCCCTGCGGACTTCCCTTTTGGGAAAGAGAATTCAGTGATGTTTAGGTCATTTTTGGTATCTAAGACCTTGAGATTGCAATAGGTTTTCAACTATCCCAATCTTCTCTGCAGACAGTTAATATGTTTGCTCTCTTGTAGCACCCTAAGAAATGTGCAATAATTTCAGAACTCTTTAATGTTTGTAGCTAATTTTCATCAACACCGTTTCTAGATATTTTTCCCCTTTAGAGAATACACTGAGAAAATTTTGTCAGCGCTAATGTAGAAACAGGAATGAGACCAAGAAGCACGATGCTTGTATGCCAGTCCTCATCTAACTGGCATTGGATTTTAGGGATCCAGAAAAGGAAGTGTGTTTAGTTTTGAAGACCTCCCATTCTTCAAACAAGAAAAGTTGTTTTGGAAAAACTCATCTGTAATCAGCTAGTCAAAGGCAAATCAGTGCGTACACCAAAAGAATGAAATGAAGGTTGTATAGACAACGCACTGAGATTTTCTGATGTATTAGTTCATGATGGTACAAGCATGCCTCTTTTAATACAGTTTTTGTGTATAAAATATTTAAGCACTAGTATTATTTTAAGTGAACTTTATTACTAATGTGTGATGGTATCTGTTGGTTTGCGACTATCAGGGTGTCCAGTGGGCAGTTCCCCAAAAGGAGCTGACTTGCGATAAGCAGTGTCTAGAGTCAGTAGCTTTAGAACCCCTTTCTTCCTCCAGCCCAGGTCTTTCAGTTGTCCAATTTTTACTTATTTAGTAAAGCTCACAGAGTATTGGGAGCACTGGTATTAGCTAAGAGAGAAGACAAATTTAAAAAATAAAAATAAAAATAAATGTGCTGGTACACATAAAAGCTCTCGGTCTCCTTACTTTTATAATGAAAAATAGTTGAGATCTGTAGTCCTTACACATGGACAAATATCTTCTTAAGAGGTTAGAAATTGGGTCAGCAGTGCTCATCTTCTTGCATCCACGAGAGGAAAGAAATATTTTCCTAATGGGCAAAACTTGTTAAAAATACATTCAGCTATTTGTTATTCAGCTATTTATTAATAGCTGAACAACTCAGTGTTTAAGCATCCTAAATGCCATGTAGCTTTTTCTGACAGTTTTAGCATAATGGTAAGTTAAAGCAGCTGATGGCTAATGCTTTTCTGTTTCTTTATTTTATTTTTTTATTTTTTATTTTTTCTCCTCTTGTCTAAACTATAGTTAGCAACAATTGTTTGTTAATAGGATCTGTTTTATGACCACAGTCATCATTGTAATATGTAATATTAATAATCTGCAGTAATGCCTGATTTGGTTAAGATTATCTTTAAATAAATTATTTTTAACATCTGTAGCATTATTAGATTTGCTCTTAATATAATCTGTGACCAGAACTGAACTGCAATCTATTAACTCTCTTGAGATAGGTATACTTGTCCTGTGATGTGACAGCTGAGGCTTCTGCAGTTTTCTCTGGTTGGTTGAAATTTATGACATGGACATGACAGACTCCAGTACATATAGCTGATCTTCAACTAAGCCATCTAGTTCCTCCTCCTTGAAGACGAGCTTTTTTTTTTTTTTTTTTTTTTTTCAGGTGACATGTTCCTCAGTCACCTAAGAGCTATTGTACAGTGCTTTATATGGCTTCTCAGGTAGTGGGTCTGTGATGTGCAGCAACAAGTAAATGGAAGCGTAATACTCACAGGCTGACCTAAATCTGACTGAACACACAATTTTTTTTTTTTTTAAGTTGAATGGAATGAGAAGCTATGTGAAGCTGCAGAGGCCACTAATAATGTCCCTCTTGGTGACAGAGGTTCTAGACTAGGACCAAAAGAAAATCATGTTGGGAATTCTGGGTGAGCTGACGTTCTCAGATCAAGGTGCTTGCTCGTTGCCTGTGCTTATCTCTACAAGTAAATCCAATAAAATCTTTTATGAATCTGTCAGAACTCCACAAGATTTAATAATGATTTGGTACACTAGAATATACTTATCAGTAGAGGGTGAGAGGTAATACATGACTGTGCAGAGAGATAAAAAGTATAAAATAAAAAAAAACTCTAGGCAAAGGTGTTCTGGACTGTTTCATGCTGGAAAAGCAAACAAAAGTTGTTTTTTTTGTTGTTGTTGTTGTTTTTTCTACCACTTGTTTTTTTGGGAAATCGTAACACAACATAGTCCTTTCAATCTGTATCTCATCTGTGTATGAGTTAGAAAACCCATGGAGCCAAATGCAAGGCATGTTTACTAGCAAACTGCCTGGAAGAGCAAATGAAATATTTTTATTTTTTTTTATTGTTGGCAAGGTCTGTTGTTCAAGGAGATTCAGAGAGGTGTGGTTTGGTATTGTTGGCAGCAGCCTGGTGTTCAGTTCAAATGGATTCTTAGGGCTTCCTCCATCTCATTAATTTAGCAGGCTGCATTTTTTTTTCCTGTTGCAGGCAGGGACACTCATGAGCCTGAGGATATGTTCTTTCCTGCCACATTGATTGAGAGACACAGCAACACTGATGAAGTGGGTGCCCTTCTCTCAGAGCCAGCTCTGTCACTTCTTATAGGAAAGTAGTTAGGACTGGAGTCATAAAGCTACAAGCCACTGCTGTCTTAGCCCAAGAGCTTTTTGACTTTGTGTACAATAGTTACACAATAGTTAACAGAATAGTTACTTAACCAATTAGTTCTTTCTGGTGTTAGTTTTATGAATATAAGCCCACATACCAATTCAGCATCCTCCTACACACTGACCTACTCTTTCAGATACTCAAGGTTCAAGAATTCTCTCTTATTTTACCATGGCCTATACAATGATGCTCCAGTGGAACAGGGAATGTTAGGAGGAGGAAGACTGAGCCACTTGGCATGAGATAAGAGAAAGGAAGCAAAAGCATCTTGTGTGGATGGAAATAGACAGTTATGGGTAGTAGCAGCCTCGAATTTGTGTTGCATAAGAGGAAATACCAAGGTATCTCCTGTGATTTTGTGATTCTGTGAATACCAAGGTATCTCCTCCAAAATCTTGTGTTCTTCATTCAAACGCACCACCACCAGCAGAATCTCACATTTTTACAAGCAGTTTTGGAATTAATGGTTAAGCTATCTAGGCAATGGTAGTTATTTATAACAAACTGAAGTTTAATTTGGAGATTTCTGAAACATTAATACGCACTCTCAAAGGTGCTCTCAGCTGTAGCCACAGCGACAGCTCTCAATGACACAGCTCTCAGCTGGATCACTCCCTCTAGCTTAAGCATAATTCTTCCTGTGACAGCAGGTGCAATGTGGATTTAGTTGTCTGTGTCCAAATAACCACTTATATTATCTTCCTACTAATTTTAACAGTTGGTTGTTTTGTTGTTGTTGTTTTTAGTATGACATGCAATTAAAAACATACTGGATATTTCTTTATTTTGAACTAAAACATGTGAAGGGAATGTAAAATTTATTTGTTAACATAGTAGCCAAATACTCTGCTGCTCAGACAGGATGGTAAGGGCTGTTGTCATTCAACTAGAGTGCGGAATTCAGGAATGTGATATGCTTTTGTAATAAAATTAGAGCTGACTTCTTGAGCAGTAGGGAAGATGAGGTTTCAAACTGTTTCTACAAGGGAAAGTAAAAGATGATGCTAGTCAGTGGCCTTGGCATTTCATAAATCAGGCCTATAATAAATTTTTCTGGGTTCCATTGCTGTTTTTTGTTTGTTTGTTTTTGCATCAGGTACATTGGTTTACCTTTAAGTAAGCAAGTTTTCCCACAGAGCATAAATTAAGCACTTCTGTCTTGTTAAATCTGAAGTGCTAACAGATAAAAACTCCTCGCAACATATTTAAGATTTTTCATGTAATAACTCACTTAATATTTTAGAAGACAGCTCTAACTGCTACCATAAAAAACAGTGCATTTTTATTTTCAATCAATTAAAAAAGCTGTTGGTTCTACCTAGGTGCAGTAGGTGGTTTTCATTCATTTGTGCTCTTTTACTGTCGCTAATTTTATTTATTTTTATTTCAAAATACATAGTGATAATTTCAACGTTTTGAAATGCAGGGTAAAGTACTGCAAATATAAAAAGAAATTATAAAGTTGTGGATTTTTGTTTCTTCCTCCATATAAATACATTGACAGATATATTTTCTTTGGAAATATGTACTGACAACAGCCAGTGCAGGATGAATAAAGACAAATGAGTGAAAGTAATCAGAAGTTAAAAGAAAAAAATATATATGTTGATGGTTGATGTTTGTTATTTCAAAATTGCAAGCACCACAAAGGGTCTGATCCTCGCTTACACTGGTCTCAGTCTGCTGTAATCCATCCCTTCAGTGGACTTGCTTTACATTTGGCCACATGCTGAAGAAAATAGAGCAAGTATTGATTGTTGATGGTGAGGTACTCATGTATTAGGAACTAGAGAATTTGTGTCACATAAGACAGGGAGAAAGATTTTTTTTTTAAAAAAAAAGGAGAAGCCAAAGGAAAAGGGCACCAAGGAAGTATCAAATGACAGTTCAAGGGGGTTTCACATTGGCAGAGATGCGGTTAGGAAGTTGCAGCAGTTTTGAACTCGGTGTCTCACCTGGCCATTGGCAGTAGCTGAGAGATGAGAATTGATCCCTCCAAGGTCTTGATGTGCTGAAAACTAAAGACTTTGTGTAGAGAAGACAAGTGCTATTAAATGGAGGGTCTTTTCTTTCCTCTGGAAGGAAAATGCAGACATTTTCTCTGTCAGCTGGGAGAGTTACCCACGGTCTGAACTGCAGCGTTAGCACTGCTTGCCACCGGGCCTGGCCTACACTCAGCTCGGCGTTCGGTGACCAACAGAGCCTGCACGAGCACCCTAAACTCATTCTCACTGAGGTCATAAGAGTTGGATCCTAACATTTTAATACGTTCTCATGAGGAACTCACATTATGGGAAATGATGTAGAACTTTAGGTGTTTACAGCTGAAAAGATACTTCAACATAAACTGTAATGAAAGCCGGGACTAAAATACGAGTTTCTGGGTTGCCTGTGTGTGGCTGTCCACATCTCGCTGTGGTCAGATTGTTCATGGTCGTGCATAGACATCTGCAGTGTGCAGGAGAGGAATATGCATCTCTATGGGTGCAAATGGATGTGAGTGTGTATATATATGTGTGTATGTAAGCCCAGATAACTTAAAGACCAGTACGGGCACGTCTCAGAACAAGTCTGACAGCATCTTGCATAGAGGGGCCATTCAGATAGCATTACAGAGGATGGCAACGATGAATGTCCCGGAGCTGCTGTCAGGCCATAGGCAAAATTCTGCTTGAGTCCGGTGCTTGTCCCTGCTGGCTCTGCCTGACATGTGCTCACTGCACGCATCAGGCGATGAAATCCATCCCTGAGCACAGCACCTGCTGCGCGGCCACCTAGCTCTGCTGAGGGACAAAGAGCCCTGGCGGATATTTTGGTACTAACTTTGTGTCTGGATATGTTATAATGCATTGAAATTAGAATTATTAAATGAACTTTCTTTGGGAAATTAGTTAATATTTAAAAGAGGGAAAAAAAAGTTTTACAATGAAGAAAAATCCAATCAGTAAAAAAAAAAAACCCACAGTGGAGGGGAAGGAAAAAAAGCTGCTGTTGTACCTAGGGTTGATCAGTCTGATATTCAAGAAGGGTAAAAAATGGTTTGAGACTGGAAATGTAGTTAGTACTGGCTACTGTAAACAGACACAGCTGCATAGGGAGCTCCCCTCTTGTGGCGGCTGTCAGAAGCTGTTTCTGAAATGCGTGCTGGGTGGGCAGAGCTCAGCGAAGGAGATCAGGGGGATGTGAGCAGGCATGGTAAGCAGCCTGCTTCAGGAGGGAGCACAGGCAAGGCTCTGTACCACAGCCAGCGGAAACTACAGCTTGTAGAGGCTGTACTGGCCAGAAGTGGCTTCTCCTCAGCTGAGGAAGAGGAGAGGTTTGGTGTTGTGCTGTAGAGAAACCAAATGTACACAGGAGTCCAAGAAATAAGAGCAAGCTAACTTAGTAATGCCAGACCTGCAATATTTGGTGTAAACTGATGTTTCAGTTGTCCAACAATCTACATCATGTTCATTTCTTTTTTGTTCAGTTTTTAAATGTAAATACAAAATTTCATTGTGTTATTGCCTGACACCAAATTTGTTCTGAAGTTGTAGATAATACATTTTGATAAATACGAGGTTTGTCCTACTTTAAAAGAAGTTGTATTATTGATAGCTAAAGCACACACAAGTCAAACAGAAATTTAGTTAAGAACTGAATGAGGTTATTCTCTAGGTTACTCTCTACATTAGTTTATACAAACCAGATACAACTGTTTTCTCTTTTTTCTGTTTAATTAGGTTACAGCCATCCCTCTCTGATAAAGCTTCTACAGCAGCCACAGAACTTGGTAAGTGAATCAAGACATTAAGTACCTGAAGGCGTCCCCTCCCTCCTTGTGGCAGTCTTCAATTTTTCTTAAGTTGATAATCAACACTTAATGACTCAATTTAAAGACTGGTAGGAACTGTTTTTGTTATTTGTCACTAGACAAAAAGAGATTGGTAGTGTTTAAGATGTCAAAAAGTATGTGAAGCTTTATAAGAAGTAAACATTTGGGTGATGCAAGCACTTGATACGTTTGCAGACAGCTTTAAGTCATACTTTGAGCGTAGTGTTTCCAATTAATTAACAATGCTCTTGACTGACGGTTTTTGATGCTGAAAGCAAGCACAAGTCCTTGAGAGAGAATACAGTATTCTGAATATGAAAATGGCACTTTAAATCTGGAATGCTTCATTTCTTTTTGTTGCTGTTTTCTTTTGGTATTGTTTTGTTTCATTTGGGGAGGAGCAGGGGAGTTGGTGGCTAGTTCACATCTCAGTACTAAATTGACTAAACCACTGACATGTCCTTGACAAGTTAAAATAGTTGGACTACAGCAACAGGATGATTTCAGAGCTGAGGAAGTGCTTCTAAAATAAAGTATCTTCATGTTTTACGAAAGCTATACTGACAGTGTTTGGAAATAATCTAGATTGAATTACAGAAGTAGTTGAAATAAAGTTACGTTCTAATTCAGGCCTTATTTTTTCACTTCTTGGACAGAAGTTCCATAGTCACCTTGTGCTTTTTTTTTATTGTAACTTTTTTACACAATAACTTATATATAAGGTACCTAGATATTTGTGCACAGAGATGAGATTTAACTGAAAACCTGGAATGTAGCCATGCAAAACTGAGCTGCACTGGCTTTTGGCTAAAATTCAATACATCCTTGGTAGTTGTGCTGTCTTTCAGTGAGTTAGCCACGGGTCCTGCAAACCAGGAATGGGTGTCCATGCTACCTGCAAGTCATTGCTCAAGTCACATTGTTCATCGGTCACTTCCCTCTCATTTCCCTTCCTAAAGAGTCTGCTGGCTCACCCCAGAAGGGTGCAAAGCTTGAGCCAACACATGACAGAAGTGCAGACACTTGAGTTCCCTGAGCTGATTTGCTTAACAGAGAGTTCTCAGGTCTTCAGGATGAGAAAAAACTCTGCCTTTCCCAGAACCAAAATACTTCTTTTAAAGAATAAAAGATTAAAAAAAAAAAAATCCACCACTGAGGCAGGAAATCCCAGAGTTATCAAAGGCAGATCTGGATATCACGGAAGCACTAATATTTCTAAATGCTTAATATTAACTCATAAAAATGATTACTGAGGAGATAACAATGCCTTCATTATAATGCAACAGTAGGCAAAGTCAGATTTAAAACACAATTAAAAAAAAAAAAAGTTGTTAATTTGTCTGCTGGAAAAGGGAAATTAATAGGCTGGTAGCTAGAAGCCTACCTTAAAACAGCTACCTCCAAAGTCCAAAATGCACAGTGTAACCAAAACCCATCTCACCTGCATAAAATGATCAAAAACATTGGTACCCCCCATTCCAATTTCTGAAACCTGCATTAATGCAGAGAAGGTGGCGCTAAAACTGTCTGTGCCTGATTGCACGCTTATGATTTCCGGCAGCCTTTAGTCCAGACAAAGCACCAGCTTTGCTGTGAAAATAACTTGTTTTGTTTGTTTTTTTTTCTCCAGCAATACACACTGATGTAGGGCTCTTGTTTATTGTTAGCAATGGGATTGGTGTTTTCTTGAAGAGATTTGGGGGGAGGGGGTGTTTATTTGTAATGCTTCATGTACCCTCTTTATAGCCAGCTATAAAGAACAGAATATTTATCTATTCATTTGAGACCATAGCAGCTTGATGTCAATGTTCTGTTTTTCTCAGTACTGAGCATCTCATAAACAACAAAGGAAAAATACACTCTTCTGCTTAACGGCAAATGTTGTCAATTGACCATGACAACCCTTAATCAAATTCATGACAGATTTATGTTCTCATATCTCTAACTTTATATGAAAATTTCCTTCTAAACTGAAGTAAAAAGTAAGAATTCTCATATGTATTAAAAACTGAGTGGATATCTGCCAGTAACGTCATGTGTTTTTTTTAAGCTTGAGTCTGTTGAAACAAATACTGTTTTGGAAGTAACACACTTGTATGAGTTACCAAGTCCTAGCTCACTCTTTATTGTAGCTTGTGTGATTTTTGGTTATGTCTAAGAGTTCTGATGACGTGTACATACATGTATAGTATGACCTCTGACAGATCTTACTGCAGCTCTGAGTGAGTACCTCTAGTAAGGAAAAAGATGGAAGGATGATGAAATATGTAAAAGTCTGGGTTGAGGTCTGTCCCCTCTGGAGACCCATAAAGACTTAAGTCATCAAAGCTCAGCCTGTAATTTCAATGTTGACTTGCTAAAAATAAAAAATAGAGGGCAAATAATGCTTTGCAATAGTCAAACTTATTGAGCTTGTCCTTTTGTGAGCAAATGTAGTTTCAAATAAAAAGTAGCAGATTGTGAAGCAAATTAGATTACCTACAAAGCAATGATAAAGCAATTTTAATCCATGACACCTCATTTAAATTAAATGCATATGCACAGCAAATTCATCTCCATTAGTGGACCGAGGAGAGACTAAGGGGAACTTTTCCAGAGCTTCCTGAAAACCACTTTTGTGGGCAGCAGGCTCAGCCTTCCACCAACTGCTGTTCACTAACACCAAAATTATCTTTCTCTAAGGTGTGAATCCTGACGTGACCAGTTCATATAATCAGTGGGACAGTTCAAGTCGGAAGGGACTTAGGAGGTCTCTGGCCCAACCTTCTGCTCAGAGAGTGTCAGCTGGGAGATGGACCGGGTTGCTCAGGGCTTTACCCCAGGGGCCTGAAAACTTCCAAGGGAGACAGCACAGTCTCTTTGGGCAACCTGCACTGTCTTCTTCCTGACAAAGTTTTTCATTACACCCAATCAGTACCTCTCATGGTTTGACTTATGCCCATTGCCTCTCATCTTCCCCATGAAGGGCTTCTAGCCAGGCTACATCTTCTCCATAACCTTCAAATAGGTATTGGAAGTCTGTGTTCCTGTAGTCACTTCTGTGATTACCAAGGCCCTCGCAGTGGCACAGATTCGGTTTTGCTGACTGATTAGTTTGGAGAAAAGAATTCCGGGAAGCAGGCATGAGTTCAGCTGGGTAGGCTGTGGGAATGCACTTTTAGGAGGGGTCACATTGCAGCCATGGAGGTTATTTCAGTAGTGGTGGCACCTGAACTAGGTCAGGCCTCAATCAGGAAATGGAAAGGAAAAAAGAAGAGGTGAGCATATAAGCCACTGAAGAAGCCAGCAGTGTGCTCAGGTGGCCAAGGCCAACAGGATCCTGGCTTGTATCAGAAATAGTATGGCCAGCAGGACTAGAGAAGTGATTGACCTGCTGTACTCAGCTCTGGTGAGGCCGCACCTCGAGTACTGTGTTCAGTTTTGGGCCCCTCACTACAAGAAGGACATGGAGGTGCTTGAGTGTGTGAAGGGCAGTGAAGCTGGTGAAGGGTCTGGACATCAAGTCTTATGGGGAGTGGCCAAGGGAACTGGGGATTATTCATTCTAGAGTAAAGGAGGCTCAGGGGAGACCTTACCACTCTCTACAGCTACCTCAAAGAGGTTGTAGCGGGGTGGGGATCAGTCTCCTCTCCCAAGCAACAAGCAATAGGATGAGAGGAAATGGCCTCATGTTGCACTAGGGGAGGCTTAGGTTGGTTATTAGGAAAAAAATTATTCACTGAAAGGGTTGTGGAGCATTGGAACAGGCTGCCCAGGGAAGTGGTTGAGTCACCATCCCTGGAGGTATTCAAAAGACATGTAGATGTGGTGCTTAGGGACATGCTTTAGTGGTAGACTTGGCAGTGCTAGGTTAATGGTTGGTCTTCGTGATCTTAGAGGTGTTTTGCAACTCTCTGATTTTATGAATGCTGTTGAACGACAAGCTGGCAATCTTTTATTGTAACGCACCATAATAATGAATGTACCTAAAATTCAGGCTGAGGCACTAAGAAAGGTGACTGTGCAAATTGAAGGCACTAGAACAGAAAACATTTAACTGGAAAAATTTCCAGTGCAAATCAGCAAGCTTCACGAAAGCAGTACATGGTTGAAAAGAATCTTCACCAACTTTTCTGGATATATCACGGTCAATGTTCTTGAGCTTGATTAAGCACCCATTGCAGATTAGTGAGAGAACAGCATGCAAGGTAGCTTCTTGCTGATCTTGCTACCCTGCCCCCTACTGCACATACCAGAGGAGTCCAGAAGGGAGACAGCATGGCTGTATACAAGTTTTTTGTCAGGAATCTATTTTCTTGTACTGTTGGCGTTGCTGATCGTTGCATGTGTGTTATCTCTCAGATGTAGTCCCTATCCTTTACGTCTATGTTGGTCTTGTTCCCTCAAATACCATTGTAATAGTATCTGGAGAATGTTTATAACCACAGTGTTATGAAATAGTCTTATTAGAAGCCTAAAAATGAAGAAAGTGCTGTTACCTTAATTGAATTTAGATCTAACTACTCCAACTGAAGGCAATTAAATAAGATTTTAAGGTATATTTTCTGTGTATAAGGAAAATTGAGATTGGGTGACTAAAATGGCAATATTGAAGAGGAAATGTAATTACCAGTTAGTATACACCTTTTATAAGGTGTCCTGTAAGAATAAAATATGAAATGATTAGATGGAAAAACTTGATCTAAGACATTATAGTATCACCTGGTTTTAAAACCCTTTGTGCCATGACTACAAATTTCTGGTTGGTATTTGTAATTACAATTCAGTGTAACTGCCTTGATATCAACACAGTATTTTTCATGTAATACTGAAAAATAACATCTTTTCATTTGTCTTTGTAGAGCACTTTTGTCAACAGACCTGCCCTAGGGATTTTACCTCCAGAGAACTTTGCAGAAAGGCTGAAGGAATCTTTGTTATCAGTAAGTTTGAGATAGCAGTGATGAGGTGCCACATTTTGTGTTTAGGGACACGGGTATATCAAAGGATGTTATGGATTTTAACAAGGAACATTACAGATTATCTATTTTCCCACCTGCTTTCGCTCTTCCAAGAGACTGGAACCAGCAAGTGATGAAATCGAACCTTTTTTCTCTGACTTGACAGATGTGAGAGGGTGATGTGTCTGCTTTGTACAGATACTGCCTCTTTCAGGGTGGATTCAAGAACTGATAACACACTGCATTTTCACTAACTTCTGTTCACTGTGCTTTCATAAGAGATAGCAGAATATGTTGAGTGTGTTTTTCCTGTTGTAAACTGGAAGATCTTTGGGGGCTGAAACTGAGATGAGCTTCCTCAGGTGTAGTTAGAATCTGTTTCCTTCATACCAGGCATGACTGGTTTCCCATTACATTGAAACTGATGATATGTTCCATTTACACTATAGCTGTGCTTAGTATTTTGGAGTAATTTGCTCTCTTTGTTGACAGGTGGCTCCTAAGGGTCTGTCACAGGTGATCACCATGTCTTGTGGATCCTGCTCAAATGAAAATGCATTTAAAGCAATATTTATGTGGTACAGAGTGAGTAAAATATTAAAAGTGGTTTGTTTGGTTGGTTGGTTTGGGTTTTTGTTTGTTTTGTTGTGTTTGTTTGTTTGTTTGTTTGTTTGTTTGTTTGTTTTTGGGGGGGATGTATGTAGAAATTAGAATTTATCATGACTGCTATTATAAAACAGAGTAAGGCTTGGAGGCTCTCCAGGTTGTGATGTGTTTTTTATTCAATATAGTATAGAAACTATTTAAAAGTTTTTATCTAAGCTTTCAATTCTTATTGACACAACTTTAGAAATGAAAAAATAAACAAAATAAAGAAAATGTATGTAGCATTACTGTTTATCCTTTCTTTGGTTAACCATGTGATCACCTGTGCAGTGTGATCTGTTTCCTCTTCTTCCAGCAATGGTTTAACTTAAAAACTAAAATAAATTCTCATGTATTCCTTGGGACTTACCTCCCTGAAATGGTCTTCTTTCTCCTATAGTCGAGGCGACATCTTAAACTGTCATTTATCTGAAATAGTTTGTATTATGAAATGCATATTGCAGTCATAGGAACCACTCTCATTGTCTTCATTGGCTCTAGTTTGGAATACCAGAATTATTAGTTTGTGACTCAGCTAAAGATTCATTGGTTACAACTAAAGGATAACTGTTTTTGTTTTTTTTTGCTTTTTTTGCAGAGCAAGGAGAGGGGCCATAATAATGTCACAAAAGAGGAACTGGAATCTTGCATGATTAACCAGGTAACATTGTTTTTTTACCACACCTATGCATGTAACATTGTTGTGGTTTTATAAAAGAATATTGGGAAGAAAATTGGCTTTCTGATCCTGAAGGTTTGTAAATTCAGAAAACGGTGAAAGACAGACCGTTTCCAAAATATTCAAGACCAGCTGCTAGTGTTCTTCTGCATCCTTCCCAATTGTGAATTTTGGGAAGATCTCCCTTATTTCATGAAATGACACTAGAAAGGGAATAAAGTGATGGATGGGTCCATAGAGATTATTACTACATGCAACTTTTTACAAGTATTAACAGTCCTTTTTATTTTTCCAGAAGCTGTAATTTTATGGCTTAAAATTCATCAGGGGGACAGTTAAAATTTGACTAACTGTTAACAACGGGTGGGATGAGGAAATTGAGATGCAGCTGAGAAATCTGAAATCCTATAAACTTTCAACTGAGGTGGTCTTGCTTCTGCCAGTCACAAATCTTACATGCAGCAATAGCAGAAAATGGTGAATTTAATTTCTTTTTGAGATACATATCTTAGAAACGGATAACCTGCTGGTCTTAGCTTGACTCTTTCACTTGTGTAGGGAAACATATTCCATTCATTTGCATGGAGTTAGGGAACTCATTCGGCTTTAAAAATGTGGAGGAAGAGGGTTTGGTTTTACTTGTCTTCAGAATTACTTTTTAAAGTTGTTACTCAGCCATGTCAGACAGGTTGCTGTGCCTGGATGGCACATCTTGACCCGAAGGAATAGGAATTTTGTGAGATGACTAAAGATTTGTGAAACTGATGATCACTTTTTGTCCAAGTTTAGCTATCTAAACATTAGGATTCCCACTTGAGCTAATTCTCCGAGTTTTCTTTATAGTTGCAGGGGCAAGAGCAATTTTCAGAGGGCCTCTCATCCCCCTTTCTTGGAGCGATTCCCCAGAACCCAATTGCAAATTTTGGACCCTTCAGCGTGTAGCTGGCTGGGGTCCCCTGCAGGCTGCAGTGTGAGTCTCAGGCATGGTTTCTCTGGGGCACTTTTTTCCTCTCCCTGTCAGGAGAGCTCTGCTTAGGCTGAAACCTGTGCCCTGTGGCAGCACCGAGGGGCTCCGCTGTGCCCTACGGGGCCTGGAGCCAGCTGGGCCCAGCTGTGTCCAGCATGGGGCAGCCCCGGCCTCCCCTCACACAGGCCCTGCCGCCAGCGCCAAGCCCTGGGCACGCAGTACATGTGTGCTCATAGTCTGTACAAAAAGTGCATTGTACTCCATGTTCTGCTGACATGTCAGTTCATGTGCAAAATAAAACTACAAATCAATATAAATTGCCAAATATTCATTAATACCAATGATATGCTTTAGGAGGTCAGGAAGATCTTAAGTGATGACAAATGTGTTGTTTAAATGTGTCAGTGTAACAGTTTTTGATGGTGACGTTGAAGAGGCAACCTGTGGGCAGGCTGTGAGGGGCAGCAGCTTGGCTCCGACCCCATGCCCCGCTCGGGGCCATGGCCCTGTCAGGGCAGGGTGTCTGAGGGGGCCGCGTACAGCAGCGGCCCTACTGCTCACCTGCGGCCCCGCGTGCTGACCACTCACTGTGCTTTGCTTTCAGCCCCCTGGCTGCCCTGACTACGCTATGCTATCCTTCATGGGCGGCTTCCACGGCAGGACCATGGGTAAGAAAAGCACTGCTGGCAGCACCTTCCCTCCTCACTCCTGGGGTAAAATTACCACAATATAAAAATGTGATGTCACCCGTTTGTACCATTTTATAATGGATCAGTCCCTGTTACAAACATGTTACCCAACATGTGTAATTGAGAGCTGTGCACCTGTTTTTCTTTAAACAGGTGAAACCCTCTAGACTAAGCACTGCTGTTCAGATTGATAAAGGTTCCCTTGTCCTTGTGGAATAGTACATATGGAAAGTGATGCTGAAAAGTTAGAGCACTCCACTTAAGTTCGACTAAATCTTAATCGTCAATATTTCCGAAAAGAAAAACCTGGAACAATTAAGACATTTTTTTTTTTCTAAAAAGAAAAGCAGTTAAGAAAGTCCTGGTCTCATGCGATTTTTCACCTCTTGGTAGCTTTTTTCCTGTATTGTTCCTAGTCAGGTGTTTTTCTAATTCTTGTGTTTCTGGGTTTAGGTTGCTTAGCTACAACTCACTCTAAAGCAATTCACAAACTGGACATTCCATCGCTGGACTGGCCTATTGCTCCATTTCCAAGACTAAAGTATCCTCTGGAAGACTTTGTGAAAGAGAATCAACAGGAAGAAGCCCGTTGTTTAGAGGAGGTAAAAATTCACTGGCAGCTTTCTGTTATTTTGTTTTGAAATGATGAATAGTGTTAGTAGGATTAGCTGCTTTTCACTAAAAGAATGTTTTCAGGGATTGGAACACCATGTGATTAAAATAGCATTCACTGTTGTTTACAGTTAGAAGTTTGTCCTTGCTTTTCAGAAGAACAGCCAGTTTACTGTGAATTAAGGTCTACATGAATTATACTAAAGTGAAATTTCACCTGCTTGTTATATCACAGTGAATTAGCCTGCCAGATTTTGCAGAGGGACATGGACTAAGAGCTCAGTGCATATAATACTCTGCAAAGAGAACCTGTACCAATATTTCATTTTTTTCAGGTTTCCTGTGTTAGCTTTCTTGTGTAGAGCTCTGATCCTGCCTACAGCTGCAGGGAGTGAGTGGGCAGAGATTCAGAGCCTTCCCTAGCACAGGAGAAAGGTGGGCAGAACCGAGTTCAAGGGAGGCAAACTCTCTGCAAGTACCAGAACCATGGGATTCCCTGTTGGGCTTCCAGGGATCTAGGATCTGTCATTTGCAATGGGTTGTTCTCGAGAGAGGGCTTTGGGGAGCAAGGTATGATGTGCCCTGTGGCTGGAACAGAAACAGTGCGCCATCTAGAACATTCTGACCTCCGAGGAGTGGGCTGTGATGTGCTGAATGGAGCTCAGCAGCACTGCGTGGATGGCCTGCACAAAGCTGGATTGGAGAGACTTCTCATTCAAACCTGCATCATAACTTCAGGGAAAACTGAAAGCACAGCAAATTGCTTTCCTGCGTTCACACCACAATAGCTTATTGGGCTGGAAGGAAAGTGGGATGTAAAAACCAATCCACAAATGTTAAGCCATTATTTAAAAAAAAAAAAAAAAAAAAAAGCTGAACACTCTTGAAAGTCTGTAAATTTGCTTCCTGACTCCCTTTGGAAATGATTACTTTACACAGCCTACACAGGCTGTGGGCCTTGAAAGCTGTAAGTGGTATTTCAAATACAAATGACACTACTAATCACAGCAACTGGCACTACAAGGTTAATTAGAACTTCTCTGAAAGCCCCTTATTAGCAACAGAATTTCTTCACCTCTTCATCTGATTAATTTTAAAGTATCTTAAGTGAGTGATTAGAAAAGGCAAATTTCCCACATTGCATTCATTAATACATTAGATGAGTTTTGTTTTGACACAAAATCTACTTTTTTTTTTTAATATAGGTTAGGTAGAATGACAGCAGTGGCACAGCAAACTGCAGTGGTTTCAATGGTATTTTCAGCTGAAGTTTGCTGGACCTTTCACACCATCGTAGACAACTATGCAACTAGTTACAATATGGCTCAGGATATGGTTTAAACTTCATTATTTAGGAACAAGAGGGTAATGTTAAATCCTGGATGAAGTATTTGTGGATTCCTTGTGGTTCCTGACACCTTTATAGCAAGAAATAAATTTGAAGAGTTGACGTGCTGCTGCTGAGGTTTGATCATTCTGGAAAAGAAATGTCAGAATGTCAGAAAGGAGAATGTAGCATAAATGTTTGATTTACAGGTGGAAGATCTGATTGTAAAGTACAGGAAAAAGAAGAAGATTGTGGCTGGAATCATTATAGAACCAATACAGTCAGAGGGTGGGGACAATCATGCCTCAGATGACTTCTTCAGAAAGTTACGAGATATTGCCAGAAAGGTAATGAAATATTTCACTGTTCACTCACTGGTAGCTAAACATGAAATTATTTGTTCCTGTCTCCAGATACTTCCTCTGCCACCACTCTGGAGCTTCACAAGCCTCCTCATTAGCAGTTGGGATAGTTATGTGCATGTACTGAGATACTAGCCACTCCTAGAGTCAGCACAGGTGGTTTCTCTTTCATTCGGTGCACAGTTAGTGGTTTCCTGAGTCCACTAAATTTTCTTTTACTGTCTAAATGACAGAGAAATTGCTCTGACTCATTTACACTGGATTTCATAGTAGTGTTCTTTAAATGATAATGCCAATTTGTAGAGGTGGATTAAAACAATTTTAGAAGAGGAAGGTTTGGGTAAGGGTAATTTTTGTTTGACATACTTGTTTTTCAGGTCTTTTTGCAATTATAAACAAATTGAGTCTGTCTGTAAGCTTCAATGTGTCAATAAAACAATGAAAAGGGCAGATGCCTTGATACTCAGAATGTGAACTTACCTATTTAGAAGCAGTGGCCTTCAGTAAGACAGACTGCTTTTTTCCCCTCAAACATCTGTATCAAAAGCTTTAATGTGTGTTTACAGAGAAAAGAATAGGTAATATTTGGAAAACTCCCTTTGGAAAAGTGCAACTTTTCCCATTGTTAACAGCTGCTCATACAAGGGTGACATCATAAGTAAGGTGAAGTGAAAAGGTTTGTCTTATCTAAAATGTGAATCTGCAAGAAGTACTTAGCAACTGTTTTTAATGACAGTGTCATGATGTAGTTTGATCTTCTCGTCCCACAGCTTCAACAAAATTGTCCTTCAAGTTAAAAAAAAAAAAAAAAGCCAGTTAAAATGAGTAGCTCCTTCAGCAGATTCATCTGAAAAGGCTGTTCTTTCAGTATCATTTTAGGTCCCTACACTGAACATATCATGCTGCTGGTAGTATTTTTGCACCACAAATGTCTGACTTAGATTGGAAGCTCAGACTTCTCATCTAAAACAAACAAAACTCCTGGAAATGAGGTTCTACTTCCCCTCAGAGGCTTTGACAATGCCACTTAGACTCCTCTTAGATGTTTTTAGGTATCTCTGTGTTAAAAAAATAAAATATATATATATATACACACACACACATATTCATACATACAAAAAAACATGTATTTTGCTTCTGAGTTTAGGTCAAAAATATGTTTCTGTTGCCTTTCTGAAAAAATAGCTGAGTTCCTAATTGTGCAATCTAATGCACAATAAATATGGCAGCATTGGTCTGTGGTTGAGGAGGGGAGATTTGGAGCAGTGAAGGTGGAGGAAGGAGGGATGTTACATGTAATTGACTTGTATTCATTATTTCACTAGGGGAGGTATTTTTGTTTTTGAAGTGTATACTCATGTCCCCTGCTTTTTCCATCTGTCTCCACAGCATGGCTGTGCATTCTTGGTGGATGAGGTGCAGACGGGAGGTGGCTGCACTGGAAAATTCTGGGCCCATGAACATTGGGGCCTGGATGATCCAGCTGATGTGGTAACATTTAGTAAGAAGATGATGACAGGAGGATTTTTCCACAAAGAAGAGTTCAGGCCAAATGCTGTAAGAGTTTTCAATGAAAAATTGAACTTTCTGCTAGTTGGTGCCCCCTTCATTGGGTACCTGTAATGTCCATGGAAGAGGCAAGCTTTCTTTCAGTAATGCAGGTTCAGCTAGATGGAGCTGCTATTTCTTAGATACTTGCTTTGTGCTTACATGAGAGTCATCTTTACTTCCTCACGTTTATTCTGATTGCTCTCAGTCACAAAGGTCATAAAGCTGGTGGGAGAGAGTGGAGAGCTGGGTTTAGCCTGCTGAAGTAATCCTCAATAGGAAACCAGCCACAATTTGAATAAAACCGTACCTTTTCCGTATGATAAGTTGGTATCTTCAGAGCTTATATGTAAGCATTTTGAATTGTTATCAAGACTTACTCTTCATCGTAATGTCATTTTATATATAATAAATGAAGAAACTAAATGGGAAAAGATAAAGCTTGAATGCAAAACCAGTATAGATGATGCTGGTTTCAACACCATCTACAGCCATGTTTCAATGAGATGTCGGATTAGCAAAATAGAAGGCACTAAATTCATAGCATAAAGCAGTTGGTTGCCCTTTGTTTCTGCTGAGCAGGGCAGCTGTATTTTGCTCTTAGAACAAAAAAGGGGACTTGGTGAGGTTAGTGCATGCTTTTTGCTGTACCAGATGTTGCATGACCAGTGTGATGGCTTGCGCTTTTTTTATTATAGTGATTTTCCTGTTAACGTGTTCCGCAACTCTCTTTCCATCCTTTTTCAAGCCTTATCGGATTTTTAACACCTGGCTTGGAGATCCATCCAAGAACCTTATGCTTGCTGAAGTCATTAAGGTTATTAAAAGAGAAGACCTCCTAAACAATGCAGCCCATGCAGGGAAAGCGCTACTGACCGGGCTGCTGGATTTACAGGTAAACATTTGGAAGGCTTATTGTAGATAAGGGGAAATTTGCTGATGCATTAGGATCCGACCTCATGCAGTTTTAAACACTTGAAGTCTGTGGCTGCGCAAACTGTTGTCAGAAAGGGGCAAACAACACACAAGGTTGTGTCAGGTGTCCAGACAGTGCGCAATAGCTCCACTTCCCCCAAAACGGAGGAGGCAGCAGGTTCTTCACGTGGCAGAATGCCTGGCAGAGCTTGCCACCTGGTGCCCTCTACTGCAGCAGCTGCCATGCATACATCCTCACCTCTCTTTGCAGGCTCGCTACCCCCATCTTATCAGCAGAGTTAGAGGAAGAGGAACATTCTGTTCATTTGACACTCCAAATGATGCAACTAGAAACAAGTTAATTACAATAGCCAGAAACAAAGGTAAGGCAATTTGCAGTGTAGTTTAGCTTCAAAGGACAAACAGGATATGTAATGCTTTAAATTGTCCTGTTTTTGTATGCTGTGTGTACTACACTATCCAAGGACAAAAGTGAATTATAAACAAACTGTGTTTAGGCTTTTCTGGAAATAGATGTATTTTCATGGACATGTAAACCAGTCAGTTGCATGTACATGCACCTTTATCTTTTGGTCTGATATTACTAAAGAGGCCTATGCAGGGCATATATTTCTGGTGTCACTTTAATATTCCTCTGCAGTGAACCTAGGCATGGCTTATGTCTAGAAAAATGAAGTTAACTGTCACACAGGAAAACAACAGGGAAGATGTGGAATTTTATGTAATACCTAATAACAAAATACATTGAGTTGCCTAAAATGGGGCTCTACAACTGCCCGCCCCTTTTACTACACAGGACTGTAGACAAGCCTGTGTTTCAGGAGGGGAACCTCATGCTCTGAAGCCTAGTATCCTCTTTGAATTTAACTGTGGGTCCTGGGTTTGCAGCTGTCAGTTTTTTGCTACTTTCATCTCTTGAAAGAAGCAGGTGTGATGCATCTAACTACTGTGCAGTGAGATTTTAGTCTAAGACATCAGTAACGTTTTGTTCTTGAAAACTAAGCCAGCAGAGAGAAAAGGTAGAGCCATTTGCTTCACAGTACACCAACTAATGATGCTCTGTGTGATTGTATGGTTAGGAGTGATTTGGGAAGCTTCTGTTGCCCCTCCCCAGTGATGTGAACATTGCCAAATATTCAGAAAATGCAGTTCTCACAATGGTGGAAATGACTAAAGAAACTCTTCTTGTCTTAGGTGTTGTACTGGGAGGCTGTGGTGACAGATCAATTCGTTTTCGTCCAACGCTGATCTTCAAGGATCACCACGCGCACCTCTTTCTGAACATTTTCAGTGACATCTTAGCAAACTTCAAGTAAAAAGCCGTTCTCTTACACTGAACAACTAACTGATTATGAGATTAGTTTGCATTAATTCATGTCTTCTCCACTTACAAGATAAGTGTAAAGTCATAAACTAAGGGTTGTGTTCTGTCTGTAATGCTGCCCAAGGCAAGCTGCTCCATGCAAACTCGACCCAGGCAGAGTATTGGTACTGGTCACCAGCAGGTACCCGCAGCTGTCCTACACTGTGCACAGAAGCGGTGGCCCTCCATCCTTGGGTCCTATTAATTGCAGAGTCCTCCATGCATCCATGGCCCTGACTAAGTTGTCTAAATACGACCTGGTACAGTCTGTTTTCACAGATAATCCCAGTAGCTTTACTTGTGTCCAGAAGCAGCAACAAGTACTAAAAGCCACATGCCTGCCATGCAGAAAGTGCTATTCTCTAATGGTAGATAGAACAAAAGAGGTGTTTCAGGGAAAGCTTTGCTTTCCACCACTGCCAAGTACAATATCTTACAGAATAATTTCAAGCTTTACTCCCCTGAATACTGAAGTCTGCCATACCACCTGGATCATGACACTGCTCTACCTAGCCGTTAGCCTAAACGTACTGCTTGAGAGGCACTGATGCACGCAGCCACATGTGCGGTGCCATGAGTGGAAGTGACGTCCTTCCCTCCTTGTCCTGATTTTAAAACTCTTGACTTCTCTTAGAATTAGAGAAGAGAAAGCTATACTGAGATGTGTGTAATTTGACAAAGCTTAAAGAATTGTGTGAAGCACATTATTTCTATCTCTGTCAGCAATCTCAAATTATTTGGGCTTATTTTACCATTTGCCCATAATATGCCATAAGAGCCATTAATTTAGCTATTACAAGTTCTACATTAATAAGGCTGTTGTAGAACTACAGCAGAATTGCTTGATCTTAGCCATTACCTGACATCAGTGCCACTACAGTGAAGGCCTAGTCCTAACTGCACATTATAATGCAAAGTAGTTGTGTTGTTCTAATAGGTTACTCTTAAGTTATTGATGCTTCAGAGGTCTTCTAGAAAGCCACAAGATGAAAAAGTTGCAACACTTTGTTACTTTTATCCTCTTCAGAGAATTGTTCTGGACATCTCTTTACTATTTGCTTAAGGCTGACTTGAACTAGTTCTGGTGCTTTTATATTTTCCCTTCTCTTTCTTTGGCTAGCAGGCATCTGACTTTTCCTTAGCAAGTTTAACTTTTGTATTTATGCACCAAAAAAGAGGGACCACTTTTAGACTTTACAGTTGCCCTATCAGCAATTTTTAAGTACATAAGAGACAGAGCAGTTGAAGGATTTATATATGTTTAATAAAGCTGCCAAACTGTGAAAGGTTTCTTACCTGCTCCGGTAAGTTTTAATCATGGTTTTCCCATTTTCCTATTTTTGAGTACTGGTATTGGACAACTCAAGAAAGCTGACTTCTGCTAGCTTAGAAACAATGGGATTTCTATAAACCTCTCTGCAGAACCCAGAATTCTGGTACCAGCTGGTCAGAACCCAGGCAGGTTTTTGAACAGAGGTTGTTGAAATCTGGAGAAAGGACTGGTGGATTGGTGTTCAACAAAACCTCACTGTCATCACTGTCCTCATAAGAGTATTATCATCAAGAGGAAAGTCAAAACAAGAACTGTGTTTGACCACATTCTGGGAATTAGTTCGTTCAACATATCAGTGCAGTAGTTTTAGTAAATGTCTCTAGCAAGTCTTGTACTTCTACAGAAGCAAAGGTCCAGTAATTTGAAGTCTTACCACATCTTCACTTTTATTATGAATACTCTAGGTGTTTTTATAATTTTTACTGACACTCAGTAACTGTATAATTGTGTACAACATATTGATGAAATCATGTTAGAGAATACATAGAGAGCACTGCAGCTGAAGCATATAACGTTAATATTGTTTACAGCATACTGTGGACAGTGCCAAATAAATGTTTAAACAAATACTTAACTACACTTCATGGTGTAACTAGTAACTGCACACAGATTCATAAAAAAAAAAAGACATCTCATGTGTAATCAATATTCTTAAATAAAATATTTATAATTGAAGTTCTTCAAGACTCTTTGTTTTAAACCTAGCATATGCCTAAACTGAATCACTAGTGCTTATTAAATATATTATTACAAAGATAGACAAACCTCCAAAAAACTTGCTATATGCATGCAATCCACTTCAGTCAACCTGTACTTTGCTGCCATAGTGTTTAAGCCAAGGAAAAATTACTTTCCTTTTGATATTGCTGCACCACTTGGTATTAGCCAAAATTTAAAATAATAAGAGCCCCATTAGGAGAAGTTTAACCTGAATAAATAGTAAATGATGATTAGCCTGTATGTTATAATGCCAATTTTACTTACCTGCATCTGCTGATCCACCAAGAGACAGAGGTTTCAATAGGCCTGAGGAAGAAACAGTGAAAAGAATTCTCCAGACTTTGCTCTTGTGAAGTTTAGCTTATTTGCCATAATTCCAAATGAAGTAATTGCTAGAAGAGCGGTGTAAGGTGTTACCTTGCTTGTAACAGTTACAGAGTTGTAAGTTACAGAGAACACAAACTACATGTTTCATCCTCAGCTTTAATTCAACATAGCTTTTAGTTGTCTTACCTGTTTTCATGTCAGGTAAAAACCGCCTGGGGGTGGGAAGGAGGTCTGCAAATCCAGTAAGTGGAAGGGTATTTGGCAAGGGCACTGTCCATGTTAAAGCATTCCCAAGTGAGCAAACAAATCAAGTGGTGCTCTAGAGGACTGAGTTCCCAGGCTAAACTGTTATCAGTGGTGTAGTAAACAGAAGGTTGTTGAATTCATGTAGTCTAAGATAATTTTTGGCAACATTTACTGCAGTTTTTGGAACTTAAGAGTTACAGAATCGCACCATCATCTAGGTTGGAAGAGACCTCCAAGATAATCTAGTCCAACCTCTGACCTCCACAAGTCCTCCACTAAACCATATCCCTAAGCTCTACATCTAAACGTCTTTTAAAGACCTCCAGGGATGGTGACTCCACCACTTCCCTGGGCAGCCCATTCCAATGCCTCACAACCCTCTCAGTAAAGAAGTTCTTCCTAATATCCAACCTAAAACTCCCCTGGCGCAACTTAAGCCCATTCCCCCTCATCCTGTCACCAGGCACAGTGGGAGAACAGACCAACCCCCACCTCACTACAGCCTCCTTTAAGGTATCTGTAGAGAGCAATAAGGTCGCCCCTGAGCCTCCTCTTCTCCAGGCTGAACAAGCCCAGCTCCTTCAGCTGCTCCTCGTAGGACTTGTTCTACAGACCCCTCACCAGCTTCATTGCCCTTCTCTGGACCCGCTCAAGCACCTCGATGTCCTTCTTGTAGCGAGGGGCCCAAAACTGAACACAGTACTCGAGGTGCGGCCTCACCAGAGCCGAGTACAGGGGGACGATCACCTCCCTAGCCCTGCTGGTCACACTGCTTCTGATACAAGCCAGGATGCCGTTGGCCTTCTTGGCCACCTGAGCACACTGCTGGCTCATATTCAGCCGACTGTCCACCATCACTCCCAGGTCCTTCTCTGCCTGGCAGCTCTCCAAACACTCATCTCCCAGCCTGTAGCTCTGCTTGGGGTTATTGCGCCCCAGGTGCAGGACCCGGCACTTGGCCTTGTTGAACTTCATGCAGTTGGCCTCAGCCCATCGGTGCAGCCTATCCAGATCCTCCTGCAGAGCTTTCCTACCCTTGAGCAGATCGACACACGCACCTAGCTTGGTGTCATCTGCAAACTTACTGAGGGTGCACTCGATCCCCTCATCCAGATCATCGATAACGATATTAAAGAGGACCGGCCCCAGTACCGAGCCCTGGGGGACACCACTAGTGACCGGCCTCCAACTGGATTTAACTCCGTTAACATGAACAGCAGTGGTGACAGTAGTGATTAAATGTTATACATACAACCTAAAACAAGCATAAACATGAATACACGCAAAGAAGGACAAGTAGCTCCAGATTTCCAGATTATAAAGGTTGCAGTTATTAGGATCTAAATCAAAAATAAATAAATAAACAAGGGATTGATCATACGCTGTCCCTGTAATTCAGAGCATCATAGCTTAGGGACATTCTTCCTGTATTTCACTGGGAAATAAGTGTGTGTTAGAGGCTCCTGAAGTGCTGTCCCAGTCTTTAATTTTACATCAGGACTGAACCATCAGCTCGTCTAGCACAACGCACCCCTGTGCTGCCGAGTTTTGTTCTCTTCCCCGAGGATGGACTCACAGCCATTGTCCCTGTGTACTCCTAAGAGCTGGTCAATGCATCATTTCTTTAACAATGACATCAAAATTCGACAGAATTTTTGCAGTATTATACGTATTATTTACTGCTTGTTAACGCGTGAGCTTGTAACTCCTAGAACAGCAGCGTGACAGCAATACCACGCACACTGTGAAACAGAAGTGATCTGCTCACACCATAAACGAGCTACAAAGACGTTTAATCCATTGGATTGTTCACTACCATTTCTACTTCCCATGCTGAGCACACTCACCAGCAGACGTCACACAGGAAAATGACACAAGGATGTCAGGTTATCAAAGACTTCATAGAAGAATAAGCACAAGGAACAACGCAACAAGCAGAATTATCAGGAATTTGTTATTGTATCACTGAAGTTCTCCAAATATTTCCCTGAACTTCTGTCTGTCTACAACCTGGCCGTATTTAGTCGTAAAGTACAAGGTATCTTTGCTGTTATATCGTTTGAACTGGAGAAGCAGCTCCCCTTGGACATCTCCAGCTTCATCCGAAGTCATCACTGTCTCTATGGGGCAGTAAATGTCATTCCGCTTTCCCCAAAATGTCAAGTGGGCCACTTTGACTGTTCTGCCGGATTCACTCAGGTAGATGAAGCCAATAATTCGTCTGAAAAAATAGCTCATCCCGTACAACATCACACCAGCGAAGAAAGCCACGCCGGTTGTATAGAGGAGCACAGTCTGGGAAGCCTGGCCCTGCAGGTAGAGGTAGCAGACGGGAGGCACCACAGCCAGGGTGGTCGCGGTCTGCAGCAGCTTCAGCCTCGACAGCGCCCGGCAGTATTTGATCCCCGGGAACCTGTAGACCACTGCGAACTCTTCCGCTGCCTCCGCTACCGCCTCTTGTGGGACCGCAGCGGCCGGAGCCGCCCCGCACAGCCCGGCCGCTGCCACTCGCCGCTGCTCCGGGCGGGCAGCGACGCCCCCGAGCCGCCAGCTCCGCACACACAGCCGGGAGCCAACGACGCGGGGAGGGCGAGCGGCCGCTGCTTCCCCCGTGCTCGCCCGGAGCCCATCCTGGAGGCAGCTCCGCAGGGGCAGCGCTGCGCGGCCGCTGCTCCGAACCCGGCAGAGCCCGGCCTGGAAGGAAACGGCCCCGCGGGTCACCGAGAGCCCCCCCGGGCTGCCCCGCACCCGCCCCGGCCGCGCAGCTCAGCCCCCCGCGGGGCGGGCAGGAGGGGGGCTCGCACCCGCGCCTCCCGCGGCTGAGGGGGGACAAACGCTGCCGTGACACGGCCGGGGCCACGCGGCCCCCCCCGGCTCGGCCCCGCCGCCCCGCTCCCCCCTGAGCCGAGCGCTGCCCCCTCCCCGCTCACCAGCGCCATGGCACCGCGCCGCCCGCCGGGAGAGGAGGCGGGGAGGGGAGGGGAAGGAAGAGAAGGGAAGGAAGGAAGGGAAGGGGCGGAGGGGGGCGGGCGGGGAGCTCCCGGCGGCCCCGTGGCGGATTCGCTTCCTCCCGTCCCTCCCGTGCCGCGATGGCGCCGTCGCAGCGCTCCGCGCTCTGCCTCTTCGATGTGGACGGGACCCTCACGGCGCCGCGGCAGGCGAGTGCCCGGGGCTGGCATGGGCTGGCGGGGCCGCACCCGCCCCGGTACCGGCGGCGGCCCCTGGGGCAGGGCGGGCTGTGCCGGGCTGTGCCGGGCTGTGCCGGGCTGCCTCGGCTCCTTGCCGGCCGCGTTCAGTGCCAGAGCCAAAGGCAACACCCGAAAGGCGCCCTCGCTTCTGCTGAAAGCTCTGCGCCGCTGTGCTGGGGTTTAGCGGGCGCTGCAGGGCGCTGACAGACCGAACGGCTTTGTTTTGGCATCTAGAAAATCACGGCCGAGATGGCCGAGTTCCTGCAGAGGCTGCGCCAGAAGGTGAAAGTCGGGGTCGTGGGAGGCTCGGATTTCGAGAAGATCAAGGAGCAGCTCGGCGAGGACGGTGAGGAGGGATGGGGCTGACGCAATCTGGTGCCCGGGGTTGCTCAGAAGGAAGTCCTGAAGGTTAAATGTTAGCCCTGCTCGTCTTCCTCCTTCCTGGCTGTAAACCTTGCCTTTAACACACGCTGCACGCGGTTTATGAGCAGCTGTTGACAGGCATTTACAGCCTGCAGGCAGTGTCTGTGTCCTGCAGGCATTCCCGTATCTTCCTAAGGGATCGCTAGGAACGGTGAAACCCCGACCCCGTGACAGTGCCTGGAAGGCACCCGCCTCGCTGGTGCCTTGAGATGTAACTCCGCATTGCATACATGTGTGCGGGCTCCTCCGTCCTAGCTCGTCCCTGGAGGACCTGATGTCGTTAGCAGTGGGGTTACTGCACAGAGATCAATGCTTGCGTTGGTCTTTGAGAGACTCCTGAATGGTCTTTACCTAACTGATGCCACTCATGCCTGTGATGCCTGCGTAAGTCAGAATTTGTTTGGTGTAGGAGTGGTCCCCAGCAAGCCATCTCCTTTTGCATTGCAGCTGGATTCTCACAACTCTGTCATCTCCTGTAGGTTGGTACCACTGAGAAAACAGTACCTGAAACAGTACTATTTTATTTGTTGTCTGTCCCGGCTGCGTGCCAAGTTTTTGCAGTATTTGACACATTCAGCCCCTTGCATTTAATGCAAATGAACGTACTTGCAGGAGAAGAAGAGACTTTAAGCAAAAATAGAAATAACTTGACTGAAAGACTTAAATGTGATTTGAGGCGCGTGCTAATCTTGGAGAGAAATCAGTGGTTTTAATCTTGTGCTTGATGTTATGCTGCTGAGTCCTTTACATCTTTATAATCTAATGTTTGCTGCATTTTAACCTACGTAATATGTAAGACAATTCTACGTGAAGAACATAGGGGAAATTATAAGTTACTACGTTTTTGTTTGGTTGTAGTGGTTGAAAAATTTGACTACGTGTTTCCAGAAAATGGTCTTGTAGCATACAAAGATGGGAAATTCTTCAGCAAGCAGGTAAGTGCGAAATTTCCAGTAAGGGGAAATTTTCTAAACAGGATTTTGCTTTCTTGCTACAGTGCAGTCTTCTATAATCACCCTCATTAAGCCAAAATTTCTGCTATTTCTGTATGTTACTTCTGTAGCAGATCTGTTCGCTCTCTGGTATTCTCAAAAGCACATCTGGAGCCTGGAACATCCGATCAGATAAGAACAGTGAAAATCCTGGAACAGCATTTCCCTCAGCTCAGCCATAGGACACATGGCCAGGCCTCTGCCCCTGGAGTTCCTGTGGAAGCTGGCACTTCCTAGCCTAGGCTGTTAGGCCTTAGGGTTTAGAAAGTTTCTTTTAACTCTAATGTAGATACCTTTTAGTATTCAGAGCATACATTCTGATACACTGTATATGCTAGAAGGCATTCTAAAGGAATAAACAACTGTTCCTAGATCCTTTAGTCACATACCTTGTTTCAACAAGTAATAGTGATGAAACATTTAAGAGATCCAGGCTGAAATTGCTGACTTGGAGAGGTGGTTTCCAGTTTATTGCAGTCTCGATCTCCATTCTTCATGCATGGCTACAGCAGCCATTAACTGCAGTTGGCTTTCTAGGTTTGCTCTCTTTGGCAATGTTTCCTTGTAAAGCAGGTACTAGTAGGGAGCATATTAAATGAGTGTTTGTTTTTATGGTTAAAAAACAAAGCAAAACAAAGTAAGCAAAAAGAAAAATGGGATCCTTAAGTTAGTACCATGAGTGCCTCACTTGAGACTTACTTATTGAAGGAATATTTCTTCATGGTATTATCCATATCTGATTATCTAATATCTGTGTTTTCTGTGTGATTTATTTTTGGAATCTCATATTCTGGACCTTCGGTTAAATAGTATTTATTTTGTTAGAACATTCAGGGTCACCTGGGTGAGGACATACTTCAAGATCTAATCAACTACTGCCTGAGTTATATTGCAAAGATAAAACTGCCAAAGAAAAGGTATGTGCATACACGCATCGCGGGATCACCATGTTCTCCATGTTATAGTGTTGAGCATCGGGATGTAAAGCAGACTTCTCATAAAAAAAAATGAGTAATTTGTGGTTTAGGAACACTGTAGATACAAAACAGAGATAAATTCATGCATACAGAGACAAGCTCCCAAGTGGAGCAGGTGAAAATGATTGAAAAGGCTGAAAAAAATCTACAAAATTTGAAATACCGATTGATCACTCATTTGAGAGGGAAGGAAGTTCAATTTTTGAGTAGGAGTATTCCTTGATAAGTCTGGACTTCAGCAGTATAACGCTTTCCAGAGATGAGAAGTATGAATTAAGATCAATTCTGTGTGTTTGTGAGGGTGCAGCTGCTCGAGTCAGTAATGTCTCCCACATGTGAGGCCAGCTAGAAACTCTGCCAATATTCTTTTTTGCTGTTTCACCTAAAAGATGCCAGGCTGGTGTGCTAGTGGCTGAGCGTCTGGTTGGCAGGATGCTCCAGTCACATTTTTAAAACAAATCATGCCTTTAAAAGTTAGTAGTGATGACATTGAGGTTGCTAGATTCAAATAAAAGTCCAAAAGATTCCCTCATGCCAGTAATGCTGGGTCCTATATTCATTTTATGCATACAATGAGAGCCTGAAGGAGACAGGCTCTCACTGAGCCCCACTGTTCTTAGAAATAAATGAAACCTCATCATGATACTCAGTGTTTTGAACAATTTTTCATCTATTTTCTATCTTGTTAATCACTTCTTTTTCCAGGGGCACTTTTATTGAATTCCGTAACGGGATGTTGAACGTGTCCCCCATTGGAAGAAGCTGCAGCCAGGAAGAACGAATTGAGTTCTATGAACTTGATAAGGTGAGGTACAACTCTTGAAAAATATCCAACTCTTCTGGAAGAGGCAGTTATAGCTAGGTTATGATTTTTTTTATTTTTTATTTTTTTAAAAAAAAGAACCTGTACTTTGTCCAGTATTTCATTTTAATTTTTTCAGTGTGTTTTTAACTAATTTCCTTCTCCAGACTTCAGAAAATATATACAGTCGTTAGTTTTTTGTTGCAATAGTTAACTGAGATGACTTGCAGAAGAGGTGGGCTTGGCTCATGTTTCTTTTAACCCTATGTCCAGGGTACTGAATATCCTACCTCCACATACGTGTTCCTGAAAAACCCTGTCATAGACAAAACTGTACTTAACTGCAGCACTCTGTAGTATATGCAGCCTCCATCCACTCAAGTCAATAAAACTATTCCTTTTCTCCTTTTCTTCTCAACTCTCCAAGCCTTTTAAAGCAGAACTTAAAAATCAAGATCAAACTATTTGCTCTCATTTATTTTCCTTTGTACACAGCTAAACGTGGGAGGTCAAAATGAATCTGAGCCATGGTATCAGAGTTCTGTTCCCTGCTACACCGTAACAACTGCTTCTGATATGATACAAAAACTGAAATCTACCTCCTTAAAAGCAGTGATTGCCTGTGACTGGGTTAACAGAGCCCGAGGCATTCTGAAAATACCCTTTTGAAATACACGGTGTCAGAAGATTAGCACCATTCTCCCTGTGCCTCAGTCACCCCATCTGCAAAACTGAACTCTGCTGGGAGATGAGGCATACCTCCTTAGCATCCTAAGATTTTCAGATAAAAATGCAAATATCACAGCATGTATGTCAAGTTTTGCTCTTATTTTATACAAGCTGGTAACAGATTAAAATGGAAATGCTCTCAGCACGCTTTCAGTAATACCAGAATGCAGCTCTGTCACACTAGTCCTGATACCCGGAGCTTTGGGTATTTTGAGGGTGGGTTTGGTTTTTTTTGATTGTCTTTTTATTCCTGAGTTAACACGACACATAGCTGATGGTTTTTTTCCCCTCCCCCTTTTTTTTTAAACAGAAGGAACATATAAGAGAGAAATTTGTAGCTGATTTACGAAGAGAATTTGCAGGAAAAGGCCTCACATTTTCTATAGGTATCACATTTGAAATAATTTCATTGAAAACCATTTCATTTAAATTTCATGTAAAACAAATAACATCCCCTCACTGCATGCAGTACAGCTTTTTTTTACTTTTAGGTTTTCATTTGGTGCATTTTAAGTGAAATCAACAAAGAATGTCATTGCCTGTCATCAATTTGTTATCTTTCAATGTTAGTTGTGTTAGTTGAGCAGATTCTCCTCATTTTAAAATGTGTTGCTCATCAATTTTGATCAGAAATACATCAGTACTATTTCAGTAGTCCGTGGTTCTTTAGTTCTATAGCTGCGTTGAGTGGGAGGAAGGAGAGGAAAAAAATCCAAAAGCAAGTGCAAACAAAAAAAAAAGTGATAATAAGGTGGACTTAATTTTCCTATATTTCTTCTTTTTTCCCTTCCCCCATACTATATTACAAAAATTTTGCCTTTCGCTTTTTTAAATCATTTTTTCAAATCAATAAAAGACATATGGGTTATGTTATTGATATAGTG